ATATATCGTGCAAAAAATCCAAAATCCAAAGAGCAAAGTAACAAAATAACAAACAAACAAACAAAACAAGAAACTAAGGCAGATAAACACGAACTAGACATTTGCAGGATACAAGAACAAGATCAGGAACAACAACTCAATATACAAGACTTACTGCGTATAACTTGACAAGGAAGACAAACGACGCGATGACATACAGTGGTGGAATGATAGAATATATAGTCCAGATAATCAACAGAAACGGAGACAGCTGTGAATACAGTGTATGTGTTCCGGTGTATGCGCATGGTATGTATGGAGTTGTAGTCTTTTTGGGAGCTGTAGTTCCACTCAGTGTCCTTTGAACCACAGCGCCCTCAGGTGGTCACTGACAGTCGTGACACTGTGAGCCCCACAGCAAGAACACTGCCGGCCCTAGTCCCACCAGGCCGGTGGGCGTTTCTGTAAGGAGTTTTTATGTTCTCCCCGTGTCCACGTGGGTTTTCCCCAGGTTTCTCCAGGTTTCCTCCCACCATCCAAAGACATTCAACATGCATAACAATCAAGCATTGTCTAACCCCTTGTGTTCCCTTAGCTACCGCAGCCGGGGAGTTCTGAGATCCAACAAGCTCAGGCTCTCCTCTCGCTCTGCCAATGGGAGGAAGTCCCGGGCTCGAGGATCCCTTGAGCTCGGGGCTCTCACCCGGGACAGCATGCCAAACAAGCTTTTATAAATCATCAGCTCAGTGTGAACTCTTGAATTTCACATTTAGAAGAAATAAACATCCAAAGTTTGCGGTTTGTCACTTCTGCCTAAATGGGTCAACTATTCATCACCTTACACTTCAGTTTCTCATCAAATCTTCAGACCAATCAAATGCTCTCTAGTGTCTGACATGCCCCGCCCTCTTCAAGACGCTTCTCATTCGCTTTTCATTTGATGCGGTTGATCTCAACTGCTTTCATTGGCAGAGCTGTGATAAAAATTAAACACTATTGGCTGTTTTGTAAAAGGGGTGGGGCTACTCTATGTCCCGCCCTCTCTTCATAATTCAGTTGAGATTACGTCAAACATTGCAAAAAAAAAAAATGCACATTTTAAAGCACATGAAA